CCCTGGTTATGTGCGACTTCCTGGTCATAAAAATTGATCTATGAAATTAAATATTGATTGAAGAATTATTTGATCTTTGTATTTTTACTGTGTCACATTGTTTTCTGCAATGCCGTGTACTGCATTTATACCTTCAATAAAGCAATTCTGATTGGGAAAAAATATTGATTGAAAGATCAATCAATCTTACAAAATTTTTAGTAAAACAGCATAATTAATTGGACAGGGTGTATAGTCAGTTACTAAAATGTTATACTTTTTTTTATTTCATGTCTATTAAGCCCTCAGAATCAGACAATTGTTGGGCCTCTAGATCTATACATATATGCACATCAAAATAATACAGCTATCAAGCTCAAGCAGGCTTATAAAAAATGATTACATTATTTTTAAGCACAGTTCACCAACTCTTAAAGTGTATGTTCAGCCTTTCCATCTTCATCTGGGTAGAGTGGGAAGGGGTTAGAACCCCTATCAAGTGTTTGAAAGATTTACCTTCACTTCCTGTTCTTCTACATACTTTGTACCAAACAGGAAGTGGGGGGATTTCCCAAATTACATATAAATATGCTTTTCTTTTAGAAAAGTAGAGAAAGGCTAGGACCTCTGTCAGCTGTTTATCTCTGTTACAGATTTTCTGCCACTTCTTGAGTGATGAACGTGGAGCCCCAGATAGCATTAGCATTAAAAACAGATATGAGTTCTAATCCAATCTCCAATGGCTTGGCATGCTAATTAACTGTCTGAAAATGGTAATTCTGAAATTGATCCTGTAAAATGGAAAACCGATTATAAAATATAATAATCTTACCTTCCTTAAAATGTCTTCTCCTCTGGCGTAGTGACAGGTACGCTGTAGTTTAATTACTGGCACCGGCTAGAATTATAAGATGAAACACAATGTCATAGCATCATCATGCCTCTTGGGGTTCAGTAGTTTGCACCCATCCAGTCCTCATACTTACAATCTAAATAAACTCTGTTATACTGAGATGTCCGTACAGATGGTGGATTGCTCTCTCTTTGAGGATCACAAATGTGTGAATGAAGAAGTTTAAACTCCTTCCTGGCAGTACAACCTTTATCTTTCACTTCTGTTTTCCTGAAAACCCCAGTTCAAGTGTAAATACAATATGAGTGTTGAGAAGCTTGATATTCAGAGCATTCAGTGATTTACATTCTACTTGTCTGCTCCACAATCAGAATCTGGCTGCCATATAGTTAAAAACTCACTATGTTCCCCAGTGAGCATTATGTTAGGTGGAATTCTTACATTTTAAAGTGACCCTCTCCATATACTAAACTTTCCAAAAAAGAGTATACTTTATATTTTTAACAGTTTTACTTAAAGTGGACCTGTTCCCAGACTTTGGAAATTAAACTACTTACATTAAGTTTGCCTGTTTCCAGGGGACACTCCCTGTTATGAGGGGTCTATCCCCAGAAAATGGGTCTCCCCAGATTTGTGTCTGGGGCCAGGCACCACAAAAATTGCAGTGCTCCAACCCATCATAATGCTGAATAAGAAATTCAGAAATGGAGCCGCTAAAGGACCCTGCATGTGCATGGCAATTCATGGTGCAGGAGCTGAGATCAGAAGGTTAAGCGTCAGAGCACCAAATGTATGGTGATAACTAGGCTCCTGCCACTCAGTAATGTAAATTGTAATGTAAAGAGATAAGCCCATGAGGTGGCCTTCTTTCAAATATTCAGGGACTGCTTAGCAACCGGGAATAGATACTTTGGTCAGGAGTAGGTCTATAAAATATAGCAAATAGAGTGCAGGGATGAGGAGTGCAAGGCTTAGGTGTACATAATGTACAAAGCATCTGGGTTATGAGTAAATAATGCACAAAGCGCAAAGGCCAGGAGTATGTAAAGTACACAATGTAATGCAAGGGTCTGGAGTGCATAATACACAGAGTGCATATTACATGAAGCACAAAATGCAGGGGTCAGTAGTATGTCACACAAAATTCAGAGCACATTGTTGAGGGGTTAGGCATCTATAATATACAGCATATTTTATCTATATACATTTTATGAGGAGGTCCTTGAGGTTTTACCTTTTATGCTAGCAGCTTTATACCAGTTATTATTTATCCTTTTACCCAGCACTCGTTTATATCTTCTTATCTTTAATCTATAATATACAGCCCAAAGTACAACAAAGGAATCAGAGTATGTCATGTACAGAATACAGTAGCCATAAGTGTGTAACATAATTAAACCACAATATGAACACGAATGTGCAACTGAAAAGACTCTCACATGTAGTGAAAAAAAAAAACAAAACTCAAAAGGCAACAGCTGTCAGAAAAACTGATATACTTTATAAAGTCTCTATAATAACACATATAATTAAACTGCAGTACTTGTAGTGAGACTCCTTGAGCCAGGAGCCAGATGCTAAAGAAATAGCTAATTTTAAAAGAAAAATGTGGGTTGTCACAATGTTAGGACCTGGGCCACCAAGCAGGAGATGCAGATCATGTGCCACATGTGCTCAGCACTTTTTATGTCCCTGGCGGGAAGTCAGCTGGGATTAAGAGCGATGTTGCAATGTGGTTAAACCAATGGGACTGTTCTGACTAAGAGCTTAAAGTGGTGCTGCAGTCTCTGATGAAAAAAAATAAAAGGCAGCAGCTACAAAAACTGCAGCTGCTGAATTTTAAAAAACAGCCGCTCACCATAGCCGGGTGCACCGACTGGCCATCCTCTGTCCTCAGCGCCAGCATCTTAAGTGTGGGCAGCCCAACAGCCAAATGAAATAGTGAACATGGCAGACAACACTGTTGCTAATTGCAAGGCAGTGGCTTAGTGTTGTCAGTCTTAAAAATTGTAATCTCCATAGTCTGGACACCCTGTGCAATTCTTCTGCAGTAAGTAACCTGGGAGCTGCAATGAAACTGCATGGATTTATACACTTCCTTGTATCTGGATAAGGCAGGAGGTTTGTTCAGCCTGTATGTACCAAGGATGATGCCATTGCAAACACTTGCTGGCTCAGAGCTACATGTTCAAGTATTCTATGAAGTTGACATATTCTCTATCAGTAGTCCAGTTCAGCAATCATTTTGTTACAGGACAGAGGTTTCCTTTTTAACCACTTCCTGTCCAGCCTATTGTAAAATGATGGTCAGATGGGACTTTTGCCATCCTTCTAGAACAAGGCATGTGCGTTGCTTTTTGCGGCCACGCTGCGGTGTGATCTGTCACTGGTTATCTCCACTGGACACAACAGATGACAGATCACTGTAACAGCCCACTGCCAGTACCATGTGATTGCTGTGACCAATCACATCAGATCACATGACAATTGTAAACAATGAATGACTTTAATTCATGCCATTCATTGTGTGCAATTGTGTTGTTAGGTGTGATTGGTCACAGTGATCACATGGTACATACAAGGCCAGGTCAGCCAATCAAAACCATGTGATTAGCTGTGGTAAATCACAGCAGATCACAACAATACACACTGAATGAATAATTTCAGTCAATAAAAATGGTTGCTTATACCAGTTCACAATCTTAATGTGTAAAAAAAAAAAAAAAAATCTTGATCACTTCCCTATAGTAGTACAATTGTAATATGGGAACATTATATTGCTCAGGTCACAGTTTGTTAAACAAAAATCATTAAAAAAAAAAAAAAAAAAAATTTTTTTTTTTTGTAACCCATTGCTACCTGGTCTATAGCCAGATGGAGGCCGGGTGAACAGCTCGTCCCTCTGGATGGATGCCTTATGGTGTCCTTTCCGGAACGCGCATTGCTCATGCCTGCAGGGCCGCACAGTAGCGAGATATGTCACCGGCCGTGTACCTCGGACACGGCCGATGTCAGATCTGGGTTTCGGCCCCTTTGCCAATATCATGTGAACGGCTGTGACCAATCACAGCAGGTCACATGACAGTTGTATAAAATGGATGGCTTCCTATCATGCCATCCATTGTATACATGTGTGTCTAGCTGTGAATGGTCACAGTGATCACATGCACAAGCTGGGCCAATCACAGCCCAGCTGTGTCATGTGATTAGCTGTGGCCAAATCACAGCTAATCACAACCCCCCCCCCCCCCCCGAATTAATTGATTTCATTATTTCAATCAGGTAAATGCTTGCTTATAGCAAAGTAATTCTTTGCTATATGCAAATGGTGTAAAAAAAAAAAAAATACTGATCACTTCCCCAAAGTAGTACAATGTTACTATGGTAACATACTACTTTGGTCATAGTGCAATATGAAAAAAAAAATCTGAAAAAGAATAAAAAATTAAAAATATTTAAAAACAAATTCTCAATTTTTTTTTTTTTCGTATTGTCACCAGTCAGTGTCCCTGATCACTACCATGCCAATTATATGACGAAGCTGTACTTCACTGGTGACAGTATGTACAAAAAATAATTTCTTCATTTTATGAAAAATGACAAAAAAATTAAAACTTCAAAAAACTCACCATGCCTGTTACGGCGGACTGTCTACTTTGCAAAAAGGGGTCATTTGGGGGATATTTGTACTGTTCTGACATTTTTGGGCCTCAAGAAATTAGATTGGCCATCAGTACATCAGGATTGATCAATTTTCAGATATATCCCATAGTTTGTGAACTCTATAACTTTCCTACAGACTAAATAATAAATACTAATTTGGGTTATTTCACCAAAGACATGTAGCAGAATACATATTGGCTTAAATTTATGAAGAACAATTATTTATTTGCAAACTTTTATAACAGAAACAAAGAAAACGTGTTTTTTTTTTCAAATTATTCAGTCTTTTTTTGTTAATTTAGAAAAAAATAAAAACCTCAGTGGTGATTAAATACCACCAAAAGAAAGCTCTAGTTGTGTGAAGAAAATGATAACATTTTAGTTTGGGTACAGTGTTAAATGATCATGCAATTACCATTCAAAGTGTGAGAACGCTGAAACCTGAAAACTGGCCTGGGCAGGATGGGGGTAAAAGTGCCCGGTATGGAAGTGGTTAACATGCTGTCATCAGTCAGTGTCCCTGATCAATGCCACACCAATTATATGATGACATTGTACTGCAATAGTGACAGTATGTAAAAAAGAATGTGAATTGTGACCAGGGGCGGACTGACAACTCATGGGGCCCCCGGGCAATAAGGGATCATGTGTCCTCACCCACACGCAAAAAAGCCTATGAAAAAGCCAATGAAAGGTACCAGGGGCATCTCATGGGGCCCCCTACTGACCCCAGGCCCTCAGGCAGTGCCCGAGTGCTCGATTGGTCAGTCCACCCCTGATTGTGAGAAAAATGTTTGTTTATTTCTGAAAAAAATTATCACTTCAAAAAACTCGCTATGCCTCTTACTAAACACCTTGAACTGTCTAATTTCTTAAAAGGGTTCATTTGGGGGATATTTGTATTGTCCTGACAAATTTGGGCCTCAAGAAATGAGATCCATCAAGAAATGAGGCCATCAGTACATCAGGATTGATCGATTTTAAGATATATGCCATAGTTTGTAGACTCTATAACTTTCTTACAGACTAAATAATAAACACTGATTTGGGTTATTTTCACCAAAGAAACGTAGAATACATTTTTGCCTAAATTTATGAATAAAGATTATTTATTTGCAAAATGTTATAACAGAAACAGAGAAAACTGCATTTTTTTCAAACTTTTTTTGTTTATTCAGCAGGAAATAAAAGAAAGCAGTGATGATTAAATACCACCAAAAGAAAGCAAATGGGTACAGTGTTGGATGACCACACAGTTGTCATGCAAAGTGCAACAGCACCGAAAGCTGAAAATTAGTCGGGGCAGGAAAGGGGGTGAAAGTGCCCGGTATTGAAGTGGTTAAAGTGACTGTAAAGTTAATTTTTGTTTTTTTAAATCAAAATAACAGACATGTTATACTTACCTACTTTGTTTACGGAATGGTACAGCACAGATTGGCCCCTTAACTCATCTTCTGGAGTTCCTCTATGGTGCTATCCGCTTGTTTTTCTTACTAGTGCCCCTGATGCTCTCCTGCGCTGGGCTGTGTGTATCCAAAGACACACCCAACACAGCCAGTGTGTGTAATACTGAGTTGATATGTGTTTAGTTTTGGTTACAATATTTCAGGAGATGAAAGAAAGATAATCTTCAATTAATATAAAATGAATTTCCAGGTAAAGTTTTTTGTTGCCTTAGATTTGGCCTCTGCTCAGAAATAATAGAGTAGATAAAAGGGATGTGTTTAAAACAGCTGCAAGAAAACACATTGGGGTGGATTTAATAAAGGCAAATAGAACAGTTGAATGTGGAGAAGATACACTTTGAAAAAAAACACCAAATCAATAAAAACAATGATTGGATGATGGAAATAAGCAGAGCTTCACTGTATTCACTAAGCTCTGGAGAAAAATGTGTGCAACTGCATTCCCAAAGTGCACAGTCTATTTGCCTTTAATAAATCCACCCTAATATGTTTTCTTGCAGCTGTTTATCACATCCCTGTTAAACCTAAAACTTAAGCTGGATTTCAGCAGCTCCCCACATTGACTAAGTGTACAGGACGTTGATTCTCGCATGTTATGCAAATGACATTTTCTGATTTTTTGGCTTTATACTTGCAAGACTTTACTGCAATGCAATCAATGAGTGTAAACTCTGCAAGACTTAATACATCTTTGACGCCTAAAATTCCTCTACAGAGGGTCTTCACTGGATCATCAGACTTGATAAGATAAAGGTGTTCCGTGCCTTGCAGTTGAACAAGGCTCCTCTCATGTCATTATTGCAGTCAACATCCAGGGAGTCGGTTAAGTGCTTCTTCTGAAAAGTTTTCCAGTCTTGACATAAGGACGTGTGGGTGAGGCTCAAAACAACTGCAAATATCATGAGAATGGAGGATTTTGGAAACATTCTGGAAGCCATGATCTGAAAAAGGAGACCAAAAAAAATGATGATATTCTAAGTGGTTTTCATAAGACATCAAATAGAAAAATGAAAACAAAATTCTTCTTAACCTTCATTCTGCCTTTATTATGCTCACCTTTACTGACAGTGCCAGTGTTCATATTTTTCACATGAAACACCAAAAACACAGAGTACAGATGGATCTGTAACTTTGTGGAAGTTGTGGTGCGCCGCAACATTCATGTGTTGGAGATGTGTGCAATGTGTGTTAATGTACATTGCAGTAACGTGTGCAAACAGAGGAGTCTTAATGAGCCCTAGGAGCCTATTTAAACTTCTCTGTTCCAGTGCATGGCAGTAATGTGTGTTATTGTCATTGTTACTGCAATGCATATTATCACACCTCATGTGTTAGCACTGTTCTGGTGTAGAACACAAGAGCTCACAAAACAGTGGATTATCTGGTACCATGTGTCAAAAGCATTTTAACCCCCTGTGGACCACGCGCCTACAATGTACTGCGGATGGGCAGCCCGTACGGGCACAGAGACGTACCTGTAAGATGCTAGCCCACTCCAGGTACAGGGTGCGCTCGCACTCCCACTGTGATTGTACAGAGCAGGAGTTTGTTAGCAGGTCCCGGCCAATGGTTCATGGCCGGGACCTCTTGATCAGCTGTGTCCTATCACAGCCCAGAGACAATCAACACAGGACTCTTTACAGAGAGAACAATGTCTCTGTTTCTTCTCACTGCAAAGCAGAGAGAAGAAACAAAGAGATATTGGATAAAAACACACATTTACACAAATTAACACTTGTTATTCACACATTTAACCCCTTGATTACCCAAAATGCAAGCCCATGTCATTAGTACAGTGACAGTGTATAGTATTATCACTGATCACTGTTTTACTGTCACTGATGATGTCAGTGACAATTAGTCAGGTCCCACCCAATGTCAGTTAGTGTTAGATTCCCTGCCGCACTATCACAGTCCCACTATAAGTTACTGATCACCACCATTAGTAGTACCAATATACACTTATTGGGATTTTCTTTTAACCAAAGACATGTAGCAGATTTTGGCCTAAATTTATGAAGAAATTAGATTTTTTTAAGAACAGAAAGTAAAAAATATTGGGTTTTAAAAACATTTTACCAGTTAAAGTAGTACAGTGCTAAATAGCAAAAAATGGCCTGGACACAGAGCTGTGGTTAAATATAACTTCGTGCAAAAATTATTTATGGGCTCGTTCACACCATGCTGCAGAGATGTCAGTTTTTCTGCCCGTGTTCTGCAAGGGCACAACAAAATCAATTGTTCTCTATGTGCCCTGTGCACACCACAACACTAGTATCACATGCAGATTTTTTATGCACAGGAATCTGCAATGTGTATAAAACTCATTGAAGAGTGCATGAAATCTGATGTAAACTGATGTCTCTGCAAGTGAAATCTGTGTGTGCAGAAAAGCTGATGGAAACTGACGCACAGATTTCACTTGCAGAGACATCAGTTTACATCAGTTTTCATGCGCTCTCCAATGAGTTTTATACACGTTGCAGATTCCTGTGCATAAAAAATCTGCATGTCATACTAGTGTTGTGGTGTTAACAGGGTACATAGACAGCAAAAGATTTAGTTGTGCGCTTGCAGAATGCGGGCAGAAAAATGGACAGTTCTGCACCATGGTGTGAATGAGCCCTAAAGCAGAACTAAAGCCATCAGTTCAACTGTTTCCCCAATCAGTTACATTCAAGGCATGCTGTGGCCAATGATAACTGTCACATTTGCTCTCAGCTAAACTGTCAAACCATCAAATGGCTGGTGTCATCACTGATCACATGTGTAGCATCATGGCAACTGCAGATCAGAGGCTAAGATGGCAACTTCTTTGGCTGCAAGACTTCGTTCACATGCGGCAAACTATATCATACACCCATGCAGGGCCAGGTTTACCTGGGGGGGGATGCACAGGTTTTTCTCTGCATCCCCATGCAGGCAGTCCCATTGATTTTAATAGCAGCTGCACAAATATAACCACAAATATAACCACTGCTCCCAATGTGACATCCATTTGGGGACTGGTGCACGTGGGAGTGTGTCTCCAATCTCACATCGTCTGCATTCGGGAAAAGACATCGGCACCCAAACGGAGGTCATAATAGGAATAGGAGCTATGTTCATTAAGCCGCTGTGTCCCAATTGGCATCAATGGGACTGTCTGCAAGGGGATGTAGGGAACACTTCTGCATCCCCGTGCAGGTAAACACAGCCCTTAATGAGCGTACTGTATAGTACACCCCGATTGAACCAGGCCTCAAGTATAAAAGGGGTTAAGTTCCACTTTAACAGCATTTGTTATTTTTCCAAGTCTCAGTGTTGTATTAATTGTATTAACTGTTGATCCTTTCAGCAGATACATTATATTTTCACTTTCTGTAACAGGCCAAATAATCCAGCAAAAGCTGTTACATGCTTTGTGACAAATACTGCTAGGGATGCTTACTTTGCAACATTTTTTTCTCTCTGGTTTAAACTTTTTTTTTAGAAGAAAAGAGTACAGTTGCTGTAACACCAAAAAAAAATGTTAGCTGAGTTTGGCTTTAATTTTATTCTCTTTTACTTAGCCACATCGGCTCTGGCTCCTTGACACCCATTATAGATCAGAGTAATTTTTACATTTCCACTATGATCCTGTTTATTTCCCGATACTTTTTTCTTAACTTCCGATAACAAAGTATTACATACATAGTTTGGGGAACAAACTAGACTTTTTCTTTTCGCAATATTGTCTTGCAAAACTTGTTTTATTTTGTATGGAGTATATCAACAAAGAATGTAAAAAAAAATAATAATAATAATAATATAATAATAATAATAAAATTTTTTATATATATATATATATATATATATATATATATTTTTTTTTTTTTTTTTTTCTATTATGACCGGAATTCATTTTAAAAATAGGACTTTTACTGAAAATAAAAAGTGTACAATATTTTCCTGTTTAAAATGACACTGAAATATTGCTTCTAGTACAGAACCTAGCAAAGTTATTGGAAAAAGAAAAAAGGCAATTTTGCATAATTTTTCCCACAACATAGAAATAATATTATTAACCTTTTGACCTCCAGAAGATTTAACCCCCTTCATGCCCAGGCCATTTTTTGGAATATGGAA